TCGGGCATTTTCTCATTAATGGTCTCAATAGCGTAAATGACGATTTTTTATGTACATACAGCAGTAAATACAAAAATAGTCCGTCAGGGCACTCGATCATACTTATGATATCTAAGCAGACTGCATGTCTTTGAGATAAAGTCTTAATATTTTCATCACTATCATTGTTCTGACATATGTTGCAACATTGACATATGAGATCAACCAATGACATATGAATATCATATTTTTTCGCGACTCTTTCGTGCATTAAATAAAGCTTGTCTTCGCCATGGCCAATCTGAAGATGTATTTGAATCAATAAATCGAAATAATCTTCTTCGGGTATATACTTCAGAATAGGGTCATTAGGTTCCTTTCTCTTTTTTATTAGCCATGTAATATTATTTTCGCTTAGAAGCTCATAAGCATTGCAGAGAGCGATCTCTTCATAAGTAAGTTTTGTATCATTGGCCAATTTTTTTTCCGTTTTCTGTATAACGCCTATCGTGTGGTTATACTGAGTTTTGTCGAATCGTATTTTGGAATCCCCATCGCCGAGTTTGAAAACCATAAGCATCTTCTCGTAGAACAACTTTTTAACGCCATCGTAATCTAGTACCACTTTTGATTTTTGTTTTGAACCAATTTTAGATGATTTTTGTGACGTTAGTGAAGAGGCGGCCATTTTGCGGCTGCCTCCGTGGAATGCGCGGGGCTCACTGAAGCGGGGTCATTGACTTGAACAGACGCGCGTAGAAGGCACGGTCACTAGTGTGAGAGAGATGACGCTATTAGCACAGGGCTGAGTGAGTGAAATAGGTAGCTATATCGAAAAGTACCATGTTGACAAGTGCAATTGTGTGAATGAAACTACTATTAAAAAAAACAGTATTCGTTCATTAATAAATAAATGGCTGGTCAAAATTATAATTAACAATGTCTGTTACCAATATTGATATAAATAACTTAAATGATTAATTAATTATGATCAACATTAGTAATATGAAAAACAAAAATTAAACCGACTTAAAAATCGAAAATGGAACTAATAAATTCAAAATATTATCTGGTTCAGGATTTCGAAGTCGGGCGGGGTCAAGATTGAATGAAAGACGTACTATATTACTACCGATCAGAAATAATACATATATTGTACATATTATAAAAGTTTATTTGAGAAATGAAAACCTCCATGGCCGAGTGGTTTGTACGCCGGGTTTCAAGGTGTCGCAGACTCGAGAGGCCCCGGGTTCGAATCCCAGTGGGGGCAGATGTTTGAGTGATGAATACGAGCATTTGTACTCCAGTCATGGATTTTTAATATGTATTCTATATAAATATACTTATATAAGTACAGTATATGTATTCTATCCGTTACCCTAGTATCCCATAACACTAGCCTTACAGTGCTTACTTCCTGGGGCTAGGCTAATTGGTGTGAGTGTTGGAAATTTTTATTTATCTACAATTAAACCAAAAAAAACAAAAAGCTTATACTAGGCCAAACTAGATAAAAGTTTAATGGGACTAAATGGCAACTCATCTGCATTTAACAAAATAACGGAGTAATCGACAAAACAAAATTGAGAACCTGAGAATTGAGAATGCGGCAGGATTAACTAGGTTTGATGGGGAACTTGCACCCTGTGAAGTACTCCCATCAAACCTAGAACGGCATTTACACTACCCCATTATAAGGGCACTATCGTAAGGGTGGGCCTGTCCCCTAGCTTGGGTAGCAATTGAGGAGCTGGCGAAGAAAACGGTATAATTACGCATATGGGTCAAAATCAGAGAGGTGAGCATTATGCATCTGACAAAGTTTTTATGAATAAAATAATAAATAAATATTTCCAACACTCACACTAATTAGCCTAGCCCCAAAGTAAGCACTATAAGGTTTGTGTTATGGGATATTAGGGTAACGGATAGAATACATATACTGTACATATATATGTATATTTATATAAAAATACATATTAAACATCCATGACTGGAGTACAAATGCTCGTGTTCATTACACAAACATCTGCCCCCAACGGGATTCCAACCCGGGACCTCTCGAGTCGGCGACACCATGAAACCCGGCGTAAAAACCACTCGGCCACGGAGGTCGTCAAATAATATGATATTACTAAAATAATTATTTCAAAATAAAGGTTCTGTGCATAATTCACGGCATTAAGCGTATTTATCTTTTTATACTAATGTTTTATTTGATTTAAACAAAAAAGGTCAAAATAGTCATTCCGGGAATGCGTCCTTATATTATCATGTTTCATAGTTCAAACAAGTCAAAAATATTTATAATTAATACTTAAAATTAACATATATTTTAATTTAAGCTTTGAAAATTATCAAATTAAGAATATCCGTATAAAAAAATAGCATTTTCATTTATTCATATTTTGACTATTCAAATGGTGTTTGACGTTTATTAAATCATTCCGTGAACGCGGTGGATATCGATCAATGTAAATAAAAGGACACACGCGAGGTGGCGCTAGCGAGCATCAGCGTGAAGTTCACTAGTCAAATTCAAAACGTGTGTTTCACGTTTACGGAAAAAATAAAAGATTTTGTTGCGAAGTACCTTTTAAATTGATATGTGTGAAGCGTACATTAATTACGCTGTTTGATAAATAGTTTTTCGTAAATTTTCATATTGTTTGCATAATTCTTAGGATTATTACAGCTCACTTGTTCAATAACATCTAAAACCAATATCTAACATGGCGGCGTCAAGCGTGACATGAAAATATTTATCAAATAGTGATTTCGGGAAAGGTCATTTCGGGAACGTTCCCGTTTTTTTGGGCAAAGGATGCTCTAATGCTTTTAAAAGCATAATTTTGGTTTAAGGTATTCATTTAGTAAGAGAAACATGGAAAACGATAAAAATAAAAAGAAAAGAAAGTCGAAAAAAAGGATTAAAAGGATTGAAAGAGGACAGTATATCCCATCATTTTCGGGAACATCACAAAAACGGCAAATAAATCACTAATAAGCAATGCTATAGTTAAATCTTGCATATATAATATTAAATAGCCTTTAAATTTTTGCATTAATATTATTAATCGACCACAGACCTCCACAGACAGCAAACGTATCGGATCGTCAAAGTTTCCTAACTAACCAGCGCTCCTACTGGACGTAAGAAGAACATTTATTGGCTCTTTCCTTAAAAAAAATGATGATGATGATACAAATTCGCAGCCATCCTGCGCACGTCTGTGGGGTCCCCGCAATACCTCACCAGACCCGTGCTGTGGAGCCCCGGCGAGGCCGGCAGCCTGCTGGGTGCGGAGGGAAGAATCCCTAAACGGGGACCCCGCGGCTTAGCATTAAGCAGCGTAGACTGCAATACCGTCTTTTTGTTTTTTTTAGCCCGTAAGATTTACAGGGCCCTCAGTGGGCAGCCACTGCGGGCGCTCGTAAGGCTTGCGGGAGCCAGGTGTGAGGTCCGTTCGGCGTTATGACTCTAAAAGGCGCCGTCGTCTGTAAATAGAGTTTTGCCTGCGATAAAAAAAAGAAGGTGTCGAAGTTCGTGCTTGGGATTCGGTTAGCTAAAGACTATTCTGCACAGCTTTAAGAAAACAAGTAGGAATAATTCGTTCAATAGTTAGGTAGGTACTCGGTAAGTACGTGCGCTAATTGCTGTGTCCCCCCAAGCGATAGGGCACGCCGCGACGTAAGTCAATGTTTGGAGCTCCGGGACGGTGTGCTGCGACAATGTACCATGAGCATTTAAATGTAATAGAACCAGCTGTAGTGGTCGAAGAAATATTTTAAATAGGTATATGCTCGATTTAATTTGATTCCTTACACGTTAATGAAACTGAATAAAAAAAACTAATATTATATTTTGTTTCAAATCTTTATATTATTCTAGATGCTTCTAGTCTTTTCGGGGTAGAATTCGTGACACAATACTCATTAACACAATTATAATTACTTATGACTTGAAACAATACCATGGTTAATTGTTATTGTGCCAGTTCGAGGAATAATAATTTGAAAACGGAAAGGTGGTACTAAACATAATATTATGGCACGCACGTTTTACCTACACAACTGTATACACATTATGTATCTTTAATTATAGACTTAAAAGTTCCAAATAAATTTACATTTGTCATGATTATTCTTTGTTTATAAGTAGAATATGTGCATAATGTAAATATCAGTTTGTCTGATGAATAGCGACTGCGCATATTTTAAAAATTATTAATGATGTAAAGATATTTTTTATAAATATAAATTAAGCAGGTCTTTTAAATAAAAATAATAATTATTTATCAGAAAATCGATCAATGATCCTCTCTCTCGGTAAGTAAAGTTAACACCATAATAGACACAAGCCTCATTAAATCGAGAGCGATCTATCGTACATACGCAAACAACTTTTTTGAGAATTTATTGAATTTCAATAACGTGTATACCCAAGGGTTATCAATGAATAAATTCGTTCCTGAAACTGATAAGACCTCGTCAGAATTTTGCGAAACCGTCATAAACAGTCAACTTGGATTGTGCTTCATCACTAAATGCAGTTTGAAGGCGAACGACACTGAGCATCAGTGCATACTGCAAAATGTACACTATTCCATCCATAAAGTTACTTAAACTTATAGATGTAGACGTAGCCAAATAGTAAGATAAAACAAACTCCACTTTTAAAGCTAAAGAGTTCCGTCTTAAATTTTTTGTTAATATTAAAAAATTAAAATTCTAATGGTCACTTAGGAATTATAAAGTGTACCATATTTACCACGGATATGAAGTCATAGTAATTACCTTAAATAGGTTCCTCATCATAATTGTAACAATGAAGTTATTTTTATTATTTAAAACTTTTCCTTATTAATAGTTTAAGCAAATTCCAATAAGTATTCAATAACCTATTTATAAATTATGACGCAGTATACATGCAGCTGTTTCTTTCTTTTAGAAAACTTTATTTACTTTAATAGATTTAGTTCACAAATACGACTTCAATAGGTATATATATGTTGGTTCTATGTTGGTTATAAATATGGAGGTGCCAGGATGAATGTTTAATTTTTATCTTTGCTTGAACGACTAACGTTGTTGTGAGAAATTATCAAAATGAAGTCGGTATGTATTGTGTTCAGCATTTTGTTATTAACTAATTTATAGTTAACCTTTAATATCGTATTACTACTTTAAATAAAAAAAAACTGTTGGTCCTTTGATTTTGAAAAAGGCAATGTAAAATTAGAAAAGCGTCTATTTTTTTTTAACATTAAACAGATACCCATATACAGTAACATCTTTTTATAAATACAAATATTGTTCTTTTACAGGATCGAGACTTAAAGAGGTTCTAGATACTATTTTGTGTTCATCATACTACATATTTGTAAAACAAGCAAAACTTTGTTAATGATGTTTGATCGTTTAATAGGCAATATCTAGGCAGGACTTGGTAACTTTGAAAAATATTTTTTGTTGTGATTCTCTTCTTTTCAGATCCCTTCTTTTGCGTTACTTATATCAGTAGCTCTGGTGAATGGAGCCACTATAAAGGCCCCTCCTTCTGATGTTGCAGCTGCTTCAGCTGCAAAAAAACCAGTAGCAATTGTCACCTCATCAGCAGTACCGACTTCTGTAGTTCTTAAGCCTATTTCAGCAGTACAGACTTCATCAGTAGTAAAGACTTCTCCAGTAAAAATCAAATGTCCTCCAGCGGTAAAATGTCCTCCAGTAGCAAAATGTCCTCCAGTGGTAAAATGTCCTCCAGCGGTAAAATGCCCTCCAGTGGTAAAATGTCCTCCAGCTGTAATATGTCCTCCAGTGGTAAAATGTCCTCCAGTAGTAAAATGTCCATCAGTAGCAAAATGTCCTCCAGTAGCAAAACCTCATCCTGTAGGTAATTATCCTTCAGTAAAACGAACTCCTCCAGTAATAAAATCTCCTCCAGAAGTAGAAACTCCTCCCGTGGCACAAACTCCACCAAATGAAGATTCTGAAGAAGACACGGGTGAATCGAATGAATATACAGATGCCAGTCCTTATAATTACCAGTATAATTACCCTCCCAATTACTATCAGTATCCGATGGTAAATCCGTTCATGTATCGCCAATATCCTCGATATTATAAGCGTGCTCCTGTGCAGGCATCAGCATCAGCGGCAGCGTCCGCTTTAGCAATGTCTTCATCTAAAAGTTACCCAAGAACTCCTGCGATACAACCCCTCTATACGTCACCATATAAATATTATCCTCCAGCATACCCTCAATACATGCCCTCTTACCATCCATCTCCTGTAAGAAAACCTGCAGCTTTCAGTTGGGGATAATGTTACTTATTGTATTGCGTTTTATAATGAATAAAACCAGTAAATTTTTATTCTAAAGTACTGTCAACTTACTGTGTAATCATTAATCAAACGATAAATAATAAATAATAATAATAAATATTTCCAACACTCACACCAATTAGCTTAGCCCCAAAGTAAGCACTGTAAGACTTGTGTTATGGGATACTAGGGTAACGGATAGAATACATAGACAGTACATAAATAAGTATATTTATATAGAAATACATATTAAATATCCATGACTGGAGTACAAATGCTCGTATTCATCACACAAACATCTGCCCCCACCGGGATTTAAACCCTGTCGAGTCGGCGACACTATGAAACCCGGCGTACAAACCACTCGGCCACGGAAGTCGTCAAATACTAAAATGATTTGCTAATTTTTGAATTAAGTTGCGATTCACGTTTATTTTTTATAAAATCAAGATAGTGTCTTATCATGTCTTTAGTTTTTGTCCATAGTTTTTCCTTGCGTTATTTTTTGCTACGATTTTTACTTCAAATTACCAAAATTAAAAACGGCTCTTCTTTGGAAAACTCTTAAAAAAATATTTAAAAAATGAATAATGCACTTACATGTAAGTTATTTACTTTTTGGGAAAATTAAATCAGAGTTCCGAGGTAGCAAGTAACCCGATTAATTTGCTGTCCAGTGTAGTTAATACTTGAGTGTCAACGGCGATGGTGTGGTGTGGTGTGGTTGTGGTGCCCGTGGTGACAAAAGATGGTCAAGTTGTGGTTACGTGTGAAGTGAATAGTATGGCTGCGGCTACTTGCGGTTGCGTTGTGGTAAAAGCAAACTTCTTGAGGAAACTGCAAACAAGTAAACTTGCGCAGTACACTTTTTGTATGTAAAATTGCTACTGCGCAGGCTCTGCTGGCCCTGATTCATGCTCAAGAAGTTTGCCGGTTTTATGCTCAAATTGTGGATATGGTTGCATTACCGTCACTAGTGGTATGTACTTATATTTGTAAATAAAATTTAATCCTAAAATAAGAGACCGCCTTTTTATTCATTAATGAACTTGTACTTTCGTTAAAATAAAAAAAATTAAGCATTTAACTGCTATATTTATGAATCTGTTTGTTTTGGCAAGCATACATATTTATAAATTTTAGTGCAGCCGTAAGAGAAGACTTTCAATTTATGGTCTTAAAAAGTGATCTCTTTAAAAAATGCTCTTGTATTATTCTGACCTAGATACAAATCAAAGTGTACCCATTTACAAAAAAAATAAGAAACGAAAAAAAATTCTATGAAAAAGTTCCATGAAAATAACACCTGTATTTTTTCATTATAAACCGACCAATAAATTGAGCATAAAATTATTCAGCTTACCACCATCCCCTGAAGGTCGAATGAATATTAAGCGCGATGTTTATTCATGCATAACGCCGTTCGTCAGGCAACAGGCGAAGATAACGGCGTGCGCCAGAATTAATTAGTCAACTAAAAACTTGGCTCGTTTCGCGTAACGCCGACCAACTAAGGAATAACAGGATCCTCTTATTAAAGTTTGAAATGTCCTTTTCGAAATTCAATATGTCCGTTTCAATGAATGTCAACATAATGTTGCTGTCACAGACCTTGTCTGTGGTTTTCCGTACTGACAGACCGTAGCTGGGCTCTAAGTTGCTACAATCTGCGCATTCAATGATTCATAGTAACAGTGTCGCCATCAAGTTTTAAAGAGTTGCCGTATTCGATACATCAGATTGCCGTATTACCTAATTTTATTTATTAAAATTTATAGGTAGTTAGTATTATTATACGGCAATGACAAACCGTATGCCGTATAATCTGAAATTATGAGCTCAAATTGCCGTATCAATGGCAACGCTGCATAGTATTGGTACTGTTTTATTCATTTTAAAGTAAACACTGAATACAGTTAAGTACTAACGCTAACATTTTTAGTATCAAAACAGATTACTATATTCCATTTTAAAACATTTTTAATTAAACAAAATTGTAGTGTCCACAGACAAAAATCAAATAGTATGCTAAATAATGCTAATATGTATGTATTAAATTAATGAAAGTGAAATAGACTCTCTTAAAAGTTAAGTGTTTGACACAGGTATGCTAAGAGTAATGCGTATGTCGTGCAGTGGTAGTATAGACACAATACATACAAGAGCAGTACTCCGACTTCATACTAGCGCCCGATTTATTATTAAATCGTTCAAATTGTACATCTAGGATCACCGACATAACAGCTACTTCCAAGGCAAACGTACGATATTTTTTTTAGATTTAAGGCCTTGGGGGATATATCGACAAAAAGCGACTCTAAAAGGGTTCCGTTTTTTTTACTTTTGAGGCACGGAACCCTAAATATATGCTAAAAAGGTAATTTCTTTGCAAGATTTTCCCTTGTCTCAATTTAAACCTATCTGCAAGAGGGATTACTTTATCAAAAACAAAAAAATTAAAGCAAATGTAGGTAAGTTACGAGAAAGAAATCCCAAAGAAAACGCATCGGACCAAGCAAAACCAAGAGTTTTTTAATAAGACTAAAGTTTTAGTTTGTGCAGCCAAAGAATAAGTTTTGTTATTAGATTGTGCAAGTTCTTCTTATCTTAATATAAGTTAGGGACTGATAGTTCACCGGCTTGCTTTAACTTCACGGATTTAAATTTCAGCTTATCTGTGTGGAAAATGCAACTTAGTCGAGTAAAGTGGGTAATTCAGATGTGTAAACACTCGAAGCACTTAGAACTACAATTTCTTTTGTAATTTACAACGCGATTTCAATTAAGTGTAATTTAAAAAGTATACCTTTTAAAGTTTCGTTATTGTATATATGGGAATGAAAACGTCTGCTAAGTAGTAAAATACTAGAGCTTGTACGCCAATATCGTAACATAGTGATACTTATAATTTTAATTTTTTAAGCATGTAACTGCTTGAAGTTTAAATCTAATGAAAACATCATCATCATCATCAGCCTATTAATGTCCCCACTGCTGGGGTACAGGCCTTCCCTATGGATGGAATAGGGAGATTGGGCCACGAGCACCACGCGGGCCCAGTGCGGATTGGTGAGTGCTAACGACTGCAGATGCAGCCGGGACCAACGGCTTAACGTGCCTTCCGAAGCACGGAGGAGCTCGAGGTAGTAATAAAATATAACTAGATAAAATTCCACGCGGACCAGGCAGCAGACGGGACTCGAACCCGCACCCTTCGCTATCCGGGCGAATGCACTGACCAATTACGCTATAGCGACCCCATTGGCCGCGTCGAATTTCCTTTAGCCATTCTTAAGCTGCAAGGCAGCGCCATCTCTTCGCATTGTAGGTAACCCACAATGTCAAATGAATACTTTTACAAGTATTAAACATTTGAAAGAAGAAGTAGCAATTATAGTTATAATTTTTATTTTTTAAGCATGTAACTGCTTGATGTTTAAATCTAAAGAAAATATAACTAGATAAAATTCCACGCGGACCAGGCAGCAGACGGGACTCGAACCCGCACCCTTCGCTATCCGGGCGAATGCACTGACCACTGATAGTGATACTTACCAAATTATGCTATCTATGTGTTTATTTTTTATGCTAAAAAGTAGCAGAAAACAAGCATATGGCCCGTCTGATGGTAAGCGGCTACCATAACCTACAGAGGCTGGCGATACCAAAAATATCACTCGCGCCGTTGCCTGCCCTAACCCAATCCCCTACATCGTGAAACCCTGAAACCTTATTCAACCGTTATCTATATATATATATATATATATATGTTGAATAAGGTTAATATATATATAAAACTTAAAGGTGACTGACATAGTGATCTATCAACGTTCAGCCCAAACCACTGGATGGATCGGGCTGACATTTGGCATGCAGGTAGATGTTATGACATAGGCATCAATTCTACCCCCAAGGGGATAAAATAGGGAATGAAAGTTTGTATGAAACTTTGTCAATTATAAACCGATCGGGCTGAGACTTTGCATGCAGGTATAAGAACAATCATAGATGAATGGCATTGTGTATAATACAAGCCTGAGAACAAAAACTGTAGTCTACACTTCAGCTCTACACCGAAGCGATGCGAGGGCGGGCCGCTAGTAGTAATTTAAGTTATTCACGGGATTGTTACCATGTACCTTGATTTTAGCGAGTTTCCGAAATTATGAGTTACTCCGTGATCATGGCGCTTGCAACAGTGCCGAATTATTGGAAACTCGCTAAAAACAAGGTACAAGATAACAATCCTGTAAATAACTTATATAAGTATAATGTTAGTGACAATGAAAGTTTAAAACTACTTGTTCAACCGATAGAAACAATACCACCAAAAGGTAGTGTTATTTAACGGGTGGCTTCCTTATGTAACCGTTTATTTCCCCAAACGGGCGCTCTGTCCTGCTAATTGTACTTGCAGTAATCGACAATGGTATCAATTCTGGCGTGATTCTCTAAACTTAAAACTAAATTTAACATCAGTCTCTCCTTTTCATTCTGTATAGAGAATAACAAGGATATACTGCTGTCAAATTTAAGGTTACGTTTAGAGAATCATGCTAGAATCGACACCAATATTGTAAGATTCAGTTTTTTGCAAGGAGGTAATCTATACGTAAAAAATATATTGACAAGTTTTTTCTTAAGTATCAAAAACTTACAATGTACTTGCTATGTTAACTGTATATTCATAGCATATAAGGTTTTTTTTGCAACGATTACTAACTAAAGCTAAAAGCAGTATTCACCATTACTGCATTTGAATGTAGCAGAAATAACTTATCTTCTATAATATAAAAATGAATCGCTGAATGTGTTGCTAAGCGCAAATCTCGAGAACAGCTGAACCGATTTCGATAATTCTTTTTTTACAATATTCCTTGAAGTACGAGTAGTTATGTTCTTACGCAGAGAATATGAAGAGTCATTTTAGTCAACACTACAGCTCTACACCGAACCGAAGCGAGGGCGGGCCACTAGTAATATAATATAATTCCTTTAAAATATACATAGTGACACAAGAAAAAGCTAATGGTTCCAATTGCTCGCCTTAATATATGCTCATATAATAATTATGTCTATAACAATCTATATTCAATTTTAAAAAAAAAGTGATGAAAATTACAATTTATTTACTAAACAAATCAAGTTAATGTCATTGAATAAATGCTATTATAGCCTAAAGTCCCCGAAGCATGAGCACCACAATTTAAATTATATCACGTTTGTTATCGCTTCTGTCAATCTCCATAGTAATTTGACAATTAATAAATGATAAAACTGCTATGGAATAAACATAATAAATACTTATGTTATATTTCTTATATATAAAATTTCCCGTGTCACAATTTTAGTAACCATACTCCTCCGAAACGGCCTGGCGGTTTTTATGAAATTTTATATGCATATTCCGTGGGTCTGAGAATCGGCTACTATCTATTTTTCATATCCTTAAGTGATAGTGGTTGTCCACCTGTAACGTAGTGTTCCGAAACCTACAATGCGCCTTCACGTAAAAATTCAAACTATTGGGTATTGTAACGTAGGTAGTGTTCTCATATGGGTTAGGAGGAATGTTATCTCAGGAAATTGATAGAACACTACACACCCCTAAATATTTTTTGGGACATTTTTTTTATTATGTCTTAAATTTTCTCTTCTACCACCTGCCCCTATTTTTATAGCGGTACGAAGTTCGCTGGGTCAGCTAGTATTTTGTAATTTCGTAGTATCTTTGCATATTTTGTCAATTTCAAGTTATAATATCCCTTTTAGTGTAAGTGGAGCTCATTTGAAAATAAAAATAATAATTTCATGATAACTAATCACTCGAAACTCCTGTTATCCTCCTCCTCAGGTATTTTTATTTTACGCTTAATTAAGGAAGTGTCTCCGCGTACGTTGAGGACTCGCGATTAGCCACAAAAGTTCTTAAACAACAAGCACCGCTATAATAACTGAAGTGAAGATAAAAGCGCATCACTAGTTTGGTGCGCATACGCAGCTCAAACACGCAGCGC